CCTGGTTCTTTCTTCGCCCCCGCTTTTGATTGAGTCCCACCTGTCGGCTGGCGCTGGCGCGCGCGGGGCCAACCGCAAGCGGCGCCGTTGCTTTGCTCTTGCGGATCGTCTTGCTGTTTTGCCGGGTGCCGGGCAAATCGATGTTCCATGTGGTCCTGTGCTTGTCGCGCGTGGTTCGATCCATGGTTGGCCCGGGCGTTGGCCGTCTTATGCGTATGGAATGCGACGCGCATGATGAATGAGCTTCACATGCGCGCGCGCGTGCCGTGGCTGGGTTTCTGCCGTGCAGTTTGACATTTGCGCTGCTGTGCATTCTATTTCTGAGGTGTTGGCATATCTGGATCATGGTTCATTAACCCGCCGTGATCCGTCAATCTCTAAGAGGCCTCGGCTGATCTTCCATTGTCTCGTCTTCCTGTTCATCTATGCGGTTGCAGTGGTACGTCTGTTTGATTTTCGTCAAGTGACACGTCGGCTTCCTTCTCTCTCTCTCTCTCATCCTGATGCCGTCGCGTCCGTCATTGCGGTTCGTGAATTCGAAGTCTGTCCAGGCGGTGATCGCGCTGTTGACTGGGCGGTTGCCGTTGAGTCTCCAAGTGTCGCTGGTTTCGATAATGCCCCCGGTTTGCTTGTGAGTGCCGCGCGTGGCTCTTTTGCCCGAGATGCGCTCTCCTGGCTCGAGTGCAGCTACGCGCCGCTTCAGACCTAGTTCGGCGGGGTCAATCGTCCAATGAGCAGGTTCCTCAGTTATCGCGTCGCTGGGCGTTCTTGCTTTTTTGGGGCTTGAGGTTGCGCCTCCTCGCGTCTGTCACTTTTTCTTGAGCCGCTATGTTGAATCTGAATAGAGCTGGATCTGCTCTTTACTGCCCTCGATGATCCCCGATGATATGAAACGTTCTGCGACTCGTGATCTGCGCTCAGCGCTATGCGGCTTGCCCCCTGCGTCGTGGCATTCGGGGGAAGCTCCCATTTCGGCGCGTTCGTCTTGCCGCGCGGCATTCCCCCCGGAACAAATGCGGTTTCGCCCCTGCTCTGTCAGCTCCCGCTGGGGCCGGCGGCGACGCAGCGATTGCTCTGCGCTGTGCTTCATTACTTGGGGTGTTGGGGTCTGGCTGCCCCTGCAGCCCCTGTGTTTACTTCATGTTTTCAACGCGCCATGCTTCCCCCTCGCTGCCCTGTCGTCGGCATTCTGGCGATCGAATTACTCGGCGCGCATATCAAAAATAAAAGCTGCAGAGCACCCCCGAACCCCACTCGGGTCCTCGTGCGCGCCTGCCTCTGGCGCCGTCATTGGGGCGTGGCGCGCGCTCGCCGACATCAGGCGATGGCATCTGGACCTTTCGCCCTCGGCACGCGGGCGGCTTTCCCGCCCTCGCCGGCGATGGGCCAATTTGTCAATGACAGCCCGCGCGGTGCCATCCCGGCAGAGGCTGGTGATTCCCGACGAGCTCCGCCCGGTAACTTGAGCCCACCGCGCCGTTGGCGCGCTCTTGCCTTGAACAAGTCCTGGCCGCGCGTTCCCCTCGTCGTCGCTGGCGGCAGGGCCCCCCTCTGGGCACGCATCGACTCTCGCTGATGTGGCCGCCGACGGCATTGCCGCGTCCTTCGCGGTGGCTATGGAAGACTTTCTATCGCTTGTGAACATCATTTCTGGTGTCTGGTGAACGGCATCGCGTTTTCCATCACTTTCGTCGAGTAGCTGTCCGCGCCTTCGTTGATCGCTCTACTCAGTGATGCTTGATTTCTCGACCAGTGCTGTGCCAGTGTGGGATTGTCAGGTTCTACCTCTCCAACTGCATCGCTCCCACCTTTATCCCGCGCGCTCCTGCCCTTCAGCCGCGTGTAAAGATGCGGGGATCACGGGTGCTTCATCGGGGTTGTCCCCGTCTCTGGCTTCGCGGGCTCTCCTTGCGGCCTCCCTCTTGCGCAGCGGGGGCGCCGGCCCCTGTGGTGAGTGGCTGATGGTGCGGGGCTCGCCTTCCCCAGCGCCCAGTCAATGACCGCCCGTCGCCTCCCTTTGCAATTTCAGCTTCCTCAGTTATGACTGCATCTGAACTTCTCTCGCCTCGCCGTCCATCGCCTCGGCGTCCTGCTGATGACCTCCGTCCGCCTTGCCCCCTGCTCGCGGCGTTGATCTCCTCTCTTTGTTGGTCGGGGCTTGCGGGCCCTAGTGGGGGGGGCCCTCCTGCAGGAATCGCCGCAGTAGAAAACCCTTCCCCTTCCTGTCCTCGCTCGCCCGCTGCGCCTGCCCCTCGGTCTTGCCTCTGGAGCGCCCCGTTATGCTCGCGGATCGCCGTTCTTGTGCCCGAGGCCTCCTGTTCGAGGTGTCTGTTCGATCCGCTGTGGCTGCCTCTGTCGCCCGCTTCCATCATTGCCCTCGATGGACCAATGGCCTTCCTAACATCCACGCATTGTGCGGGCGTCGCTACCTGATCTCCTACTTCATATAATCATGAAGAGTCACGTTGGCCATGGTTCTTGACCGCGGTGCCATTGGCTGCGCTGTCGTGGCGACTATCATGCGAGGTCTCGGTTTGCTTCGGACGGAAATGGGTGGCCACGGTGGGTGGTCCGACCGTATTGTAGGACCTCAATCCACGGTTACCGCGACTGTTTCCACTGCTGTTTCGGTCTTATCGCCGAGGCCGGCGTTCACTTCGTTCGGCCAGTTACTTGCCCGGACCAATTCCACTTCGCGCTTCGTCCTTTGCCTCATCTCTCCCGCCATCTTTCTTTTTCATCGTTGTTAGGGGTTCCTACGGGATTATGGGGGCGGGCTGGCCCCTGCTTACTTCGTAACGCCCGGGGCCCATATCCGATCGTGTTTGCGCCAAGTAATATCCGCCGTGGTCGCCGTTGGCCTGTCCCACTTCATTCGCGCTCTCGGTGCAGTTGGCGGCTATGCGCCTTTTCTTGCCTCATCGTAGCATTTTCGCGAGATCATGGGCGCGTGGCCTCTACCGCCTGCTGTGCTACCTGCCATGTGCGCTGCTTTACCTGATCCCTTGTGTCCTCCATATTTTTCTGTGTTGTACCCTTCTGGTCCACGCGGATCTCCTGTGCCTTCTTAGCCTTTTTGTGACCTTTGCCTTTGGCCTCGCAGCCTCGGGCCACATGGCCCTGTCAGCCGCACTTGCAACGCGCAGTAGTTCCTTCTATGTTTCCCTAGTTGACGGCGTCCACATCGCCATCTCCCAAGCTCTGTGTCTCATTCCAGCTGTTGTAGCCGTCTTCCTCCACTAGCCAGCAGTGGCCTTCCTCATCGTAATCTCCTCGGTAACCTCCTGTGTAGGTGCCAAAATCGTTCTGATCATCGCCTTTGCTGACTTGGACCATGTCAATGGCATCGCTGTTTTAAACGTCGGCGCTCAGTCGTTTCCTGCGCGCCAGAACTCTGCACCTTAGGTGAAGTTTTGGTACGTCTCGGTGGTTAGCGAATCGGGTGTCTTGACGCAGTCCTGCTGTCAATGGTCGAACTGTTCTCCTTCATGAGATATGATGATGGTTAGTGCCATTCTCTTGAAGGGAAGAAAGCACCCATAATAGTTTCAAGATTTCCATAACTTTCCACTCGGGCGCTTCACTGCTCGAGTTGCACTGGCGTGTCGCTCACCTTTTTGGGCCTGTCGAGGTTCATGTCCAGGCTTCTCGTAACTGATATGGTTGCCCCAGTTACTGCGGCGTGCCACTTACCTATACACATATATACGCAATCAGCCTTTGACCTTCGCTGAGGCCATTCAGTTTGTCTCGCGCCTCCATGGTTTCTAGCTTTTCGGTGAATATTTACCACAGGTCTTCGCCTAACTCTGTGATCTCGTTTTCGTCCATGAAGACATGTTCCCTCTGGTCCTCCTCCCTTTGTTTATCAGGACTGGTGCAATTATCTCCCGCGGCTGTCCTGCGGCGGGGTCAGGAACGGCTTCATCATTAGTCTCCAATTCCGGGTCTAGCGTTTGAGGGCCTGGTCGTTCTCACTGTTGACCTGAGCCAAGGCGTTGAGTGGCCGCTCGCCCCCTTCGCATAATTTTCTTCTGTCGCCGTTGAATATGTTTAGTGGTCGCATGGCTTTGGACTCGCTTCTGGGACTCTGTTGCATCTTGTTTTTGTGCCATCTGGGCTGGTAGTGTTCGTGCCCATCCTTTCTGCAACTACCCTTTCCAATTCGGCCTGTTTCGACCTCAGTATGGCTATTTCCGCCCCGAATCAGTTTTTCCGGCTGGTGCTGCTCAGGAAAGCTGCGTTGGACTTACCGAGCAGTTTCGTCATTGTCATCGCATGCTCGATGGATATTTCCTGGTTGCCTGTGCACTCTTGCTAATCCAAATAGTTTGTTCTTGCGTCGTGGTTGACTTGCACTGCGGTTTTGAAGAATTCATCGTCGCCTGGTTGGGTGGCCTTGAAACAACTGACCTCGAAACTGGCGAGACAATAATCTATCCACTCCTGTCTTGTCGTATGTATACCAGCTCACGGTCTCTTTCCGATACCGTGTAAATTTAACAGAACGGCGTTAAAGATGATTGGGTTCTGCTTTACAATGGGCGGGCATCTGCTCAAATGCGCAGGCTGTCACACTCGGGGAGACGTAAGACCCGGGTGCGGGGGACTCGGAAATCCCCGACGAGGTCGTCAAAAAAATGACAAGGCCGAGCCTGCATTTTGACGAGGCCTCCCGCTGCAGACATCCCACGAAACTCCTCCTCGTCAAAATCCGAGGCGCGGCAGTCAAAAAACGATGGCGAACCCGAGTCCCGGCAAACCCGGGTCTTACGCTCCCCCGACACACCGCGGGGCAACGGTTACAGTTACTGGAACCAAACGCCGGCAGTTGCACAGTAGCGTGGGGGCCTATATTGAAGCACCTCCTCCTAATCGTCCTCATCGACCTCCTCCTCCTCCTCCTCCTCCTCGTCCTCCTCCTCCTCCGTTTGGTCGCCCCTGGGAAGGGGGGGCGTGCGGGGGCACCGCAAGCGAATCTGGGGAGAGCGCGGCGGTTCCTCGGTCGAGGCGGCCCGCGGCATCCGCATGGTCGAAGCGTCGTCGGACGACGAGCGGCGGGAGAGCTTGAGGCCTTTGAGGCTCTCCTGGCGCCGCGGGGTGGGGGGGGCGGCCGTCTGCCGGGGAGGGGGGGGAGGGGTTCAGGCTCGAGGCAGGCCATTGGGGCTCTCTTGGCGCCGCGTAGGTGCGTGGCCGTCCGAGGGGGGGAGGGCAGGCTTGAGGCTGTTGAGACTCTCCCGGCGCCGGCGCCGCAGGGTGTGTGCGGCCGTCTGCGGGGGGGGCAAGCTTGACGTCGTTGAGGCTCTCTGGGCGCGGCGGTGGGGTGCGGCCGTCGCAAAGGGGGGCAGAGAACATACACACACACACACACACACACATCAGGCATCGAGGCGTCACGGAAAGACGTGCGTGACTGAAGGAGGCCCCAACCAGTTGTTCGCGAGAACAGTGTAAGCGCAGCGCGTAAGCGGTGGCAACGGGCAAAGGGCGAAGAACGCGGCATCCTCTGCACTCAACTCTCTCTCTCTCTCTCTCTCCGTCTGTCTCTCTCCCTTTGTCTGTCTACTCCGCTCTCAAATTTCGTTTCCACTTTCTAGGCTGTGTTTTCCATTATGAACTCTCTCACATGTATATATATACATATATACATACACACGCCACAGATTTGATATATATATATAACTATATATATGTATATATATATACACATACATACATACATACATACATACATACATACATACAAATGTTCATCCGCCACCGTGCCTCGAGGCACGAAGTGGAATTTCCCCCCGACTCTCATGTGTTCTCTGTTCTCTGTACTCAGGACTGGGGGATTCTAGTATTCTTGGGGCTGGGGCCTCAGATTCTCAAACTTCCTGGGCGTTCCCGCGCGCTACTGGGATGCTTCGCGTGACGCTTCCAAAAGCCAGGAGGCCCCAAAGCGGGCCCAGAGGAGCCCAAGAAACGATCCACATATTTCCCCAAACAGCTTGCTGAACGGGGTGCTGTTGTGATAGAAGCTAACTCCGGCCGAGGGAAAGCTAAGCAGAGACATCCTCAAACAAATGTGGTGGTCCGGCCCGTTTCGCCTGAGACATCCTCACAACTCTCGTTTCTGAGTTGTCCGGGATTGAGCGTTTCGCCTGAGACATCCTCCTAAATCTGAGCTCTGAGAGGCCGCGCGAGAGGTGGTCCGGCCCGTTTCGCTTGAGACATCCTCCAAACTCTGAGCTCCCAGATGCCGCGCGAGAGGTGGTCCGGGCCGTTTCGCCTGAGACATCCTCGCAACTCTGAGCTCCAAAATGCCGCGCGCGAGGTGCTCCGGCCCGTTTCGCCTGAGACATCCTCGAAACTCGGATCTTCCCGATGCCGTGCGCGAGGTGGTCCGGCCCGTTTCGCTTGAGACATCCTCGAAACTCTGAGCTCTGAGATGCCGCGCGAGAGGTGGTCCAGCCCATTTCGCCTGAGACATCCTCGAAACTCTGAGCTCCAAGATGCCGCGCGAGAGGTGGTCCGGCCCGTTTCGCCTGAGACACCCTCGAAACTCTGATCTCCCCGATGCCGCGCGCGAGGTGGTCCGGCCCGTTTCGCTTGAGACATCCTCGAAACTCTGAGCTCTGAGATGCCGCGCAAGAGGTGGTCCAGCCCGTCTCGCCTGAGACATCCTCGCAACTCTGAGCTCTGAGATGCCGTGCGCAAGGTGGTCCGGCCTGTTTCGCACAAGACATTCCCGCAACTCTGAGCTCCCAGATGCCGTGCAAGAGGTGGTCGAGCCTGGGGGCCCAGAAGACCACATGTTACATATCCTCCCCGGGACCCTGGGAGCCCGCCTGAGACATCCTCAAACTTCTGAGCTCTGAGATGCCCTGCGCGAGGTGGTCCGGCCCGTCTCGCCTGAGACATCCTCGCAACTCTGAGCTCTGAGATGCCGTGCGCAAGGTGGTCTGGCCCGTTTCGCACAAGACATTCTCGCCGCTCTGAGCTCCCAGATGCTGCGCAAGAGGTGGTCCAGCCTGGGGGCCCAGAAGACCACATGTTACACATCCCCCCTGGGACCCTGGGAGCCCCAGGAGGCCCCAGAGAGCTTCAGGAGGCCGCAGGACGCCCAGGACATGCCCCAGGGGTCCGCAGGAGATTCCCAGGAGGCTCCCAGGAGGCCCCAGGAGGCCCCCTATCAGAACGTGTCCAGTTAATACACATCCGGTGTCGATTCGTTGATTTTTCCTGCTCTTGTGCCCTCCCCTCCCCATTTTGGGTGGCCCCGACGGCCACATGTCAGATATCCCCCCCTGGGAGCCCCAAAAAGCTTCAGGAAGCCCCAGGTGGGGTCCAGGAGGCCACAGGAGGCCCAGGAGGAAGCCCCAGGAGGTCACCAGGAGAACCCAGGAGGCCCCAGGAGGCCCCCGCAACTCGGAGCTCTGAGACGCCGCACTCGAGGTGGTCCGGCACTTCCTCGCAGCACATTTCGCCCGAGACACCGGCCCGTCTCGCTTGAGACATTCTCGCAACTCTGAGCTCTGAGATGCCGTGCGCAAGTTGGTCTGGCCCGTTTCGCACAAGACATTCTCGCAACTCTGAGCTCCCAGATGCCGCGCAAGAGGTGGTCCAGCCTGGGGGCCCAGAAGACCACATGTTACATATCCTCCCTGGGGAGCACCAGGAGGCCCCAGAGAGCTTCAGGAAACCGCAGGACGCCCAGGACAGGCCCCAGGGGTCCGCAGGAGATTCCCAGGTGGCTCCCAGGAGGCCCCAGGAGGCCCCCTATCAGAACGTGTCAAGTTATTACACATCCGGTGTCGATTCGTTGATTTTTCTTGCTCTTCGGAGCTCTGAGACGCCGCGCTCGAGGTGGTCCAGCCCGTTTCGCCTGAGACTTCCTCGCAGCACGTTTCGCCCGAGACATCGTCGCAACTCTGGGGTCCGAGATGCCGCGCGCGAGGTGGTCCAGCCCGTTACGCTGGAGACATCCTCGCAACTCTAGGCTCCGAAATGCCGTTCGCGATGAAGAGGAGGTGGAGGAGGAGGAGGAGGAGGAGGAGGAGGAGGAGGAGGAGATGGAAGGGAGAAGGAGGAGGCGGATGATGTGCATGAGGGAGCAGGCAGGAGGAGGGGGAGGTCCCAGAGAGCTTCAGGAGGCCGCAGGACGCCCAGGACAGGCCTCAGGGGTCCGCAGGAGATTCCCAGGAGGCTCCCAGGAGGCCCCAGGAGGCCCTCTATCAGAACGTGTCAAGTTAATACACATCCGGTGTCGATTCGTTGATTTTTCCTATTCCTGTGGCCCCCCCCCTGTATTTGGAGAGGCCCAAACGGCCACAGGTTAGATATCCCCCCTGGGAGCCCCAAGATGCTTCAGGAAACCTCAGGTGGAGTTCTTTTTTTTTGAGCTCAACGCCCGCACAGCCTCTCACTGTCAGCAGCGACGGCTGGGAAATCGCTGCTGCATCCACCATGCCACTGAGGCAAGGAGGTGAAGCCACGAAGGTGGCAGGATAATATTAGTCAGAAGAACCCGACTCAGCATCCAGGTCCCTCCTTCCCTCACTGCCGCTCCGAGCGGCTTCAAGAAGGCGGAGGGACTTAGAAGCGACGCTGAGCTCTCGGGCCTGACGGGCCTGACGGACCTCCTCCTCCGAGGGGGGGGGAGGCTCGACCGAGGAAGCAGGGACCGCCTCCTCCTCCACCGAATGTTTCCCAGCTGGGGCCACCACGGCCCTGCTGCACGAGGAAGGCTCCTCGGCCTGAGAACCAAACAGAGCACAGATCTGGTGAGTGTTCACCGTCACATCCCGCTTCCTGGGGTTCGGATGTATTCCTCGGCAGAGGTCCCTCCAAGAATACTCAGCATGCCTGGAGGGCCGATCGTTACAAAACTTCCCGAGGCCGTCCACACGTGCACCTGTGCTGTGGTGGCGGCATTTCACGCAAACAAAAAGGTGCGAACCGTCACTGCAGGAGAAAGCCAAAACACGATGTCGCAGTGAAACAAGCACACCTTCATCAAGCTTGCACCTGCCCGTGCATATACCAGGATCAGGGACACCAGACGCCCTGGAACCCAGCAAACAAACACGACAACGCCACACACCAGACCAGGGGGCCCAGTCGTGTCCAGGCTTGTCCCAGGAAAACCTGGGCTTGGGGGCAGGCGGAATGTATTCGGCATCAGATAAGTCTAGACGGGGCCACTCTAAAAGAAGCTTGGCCCCCAGTCGACACACTGATTTGGCAATGTCAATCCTCTTGCTGAGATCTTCACTGCCATTAACATCAGTCGCATGAAACGAAAGCGCAGCTTTGGCCGCCGCGTCTGCATCGTTATTGCATTTGCGACAAAACCGTTCAAATTGGTCGATGCCAGCTTCATCTAAATCTTTGTGAGCAGCGACCTTGACAATATCCTTAATGCACGTGCCTTCTCGAGCATTGGCTTCCATGATTATGCCACTGTACACCCTCTTACCCGAGAGGCGCTCGACAGGAGGCAACTTAGAATGCTTAACCACATTCAAGCAATCTGAGAACAGGGTGGAAGGGTACTTGGCCATATTACCAGCCATGCCACGAGCTAAATATTCTCCAGCCTGCGGGGTCTGAGGGTATTGAGCCCACACAGGCCCCATAACCTCCCCTAAAAGGTCCCCACTGTCGTTGTGCATCGTGATGGCCCACGACGCACGGCTAAGTTCACGAATTATGTGCCGCCTGCAAGACCCGTCGAGAAACAGCGAACCCCAGACAGCACCTTCCTGGGGAGCCTCGAAACCTTCGGGGCCCTCGAGCAGATCACGATGCCAGCGGAACACCACATTACCTTCGAGGCAGGGCCTCGGAAGGGTATCGGCGGGATGGGCGAAAGCCCCGAAGCAGAAAAGGAGGTCCGAGTAGTCCTCAGCCTCAGTGTCTAGGGCCGCAGCAATGATTCAGTCCTTAGCAAGCTCCGCTCTCTGATCGCACACATGTGGGCATACCCACAGACGGTGGTGCAGCGAATCTGCCGCACCGCAATGGACGCACTTAGAACACACTTGATATCCACAGGCAATGGCACGATCAGGAGTCCAGATGGCGTTGCACGCCAGAGCTC